TTTTTTGGGGGGGGGAGGGGAAGGGGACTGCCACTGCATTAGCTCTGACTTTTTCAACATACCTGGTTGGCAAATCCAGGTTTATTTAGTTAGAATTGGTCAACATTGTTTCTTCTGAGTCTATTTTGGGGATAAATAAAAGCAGTCTACAGCCCAAATGATAAACCTAAGAGTTCTTCTACTGATGTTGCTCCTTCTTACCACCTCATCTTCTGATAACATGGCATGGGGACCTTATTACTGTGTGTCAGAATTCCTTTAACAATAACAGTGTCTTAACAAATTATATGGATAGAAGTGGTTTATATTTATAGGTATCAAATGTTGTGCTTATTTATAGGACATACGTTGCCTCCTGTGTTTCTCTTGTACTTTCCGGATGAAAAATGCACACTGATTATCACTTTTTCCTTTCCTTCTGATCTTCCATCGTCTGCCAGCTGTCCTTCTATCCATTACTCTCGCCTTCAGTTCTCCAAGCTCTCCAGCACCACCTTTCTTATAAAGGAGGACTGAATGAGCTCTTTACTTGCCTTTCACTTAGACAACCATCTACCATTCCATCTACAGTTTCTGTATTTTTCTTCTTTTTCTTACGAGTCTGGCAAATGGGCAACTCACAAGTCTGACTAGTATTCCAGCACTGTTGCTCTAGCAGAACAGTCCTTTCAGGAGATGCCAAAATCTGGGCTGGAGTTTGCATTTACAGGGAGAGATGCATCTCCTTACACTCGCAATACTGCATAAAACCTCAGAGGCTGAACACCCGTCATTTTCTGTATGCAACATATAAAAGGGATGAGATTCACTTCAGATTGAAAATCAACTGTCTGCAGTACCTTAATGTAGCTGTGTCTTTGCCTGGGATTGCACAGCAGTTCTCTGCAATTGCAGTACAATCCTGAAAAATCATGCAACTGCATTCAGGAGTTGAACCACAGCAGCTTTCTGCCTCTGAATCTGAAGTGCTATTCAAACCTAATATGTAATATTGCCCTTTATTCTGTGTGGAAAGATTTCAAAAGCAGGATTTTGAACATCATGATATATAAGGAAACTCAAATAAAAAATCAACTTGTTCATCAGATGCTCAGTATGGCCCTGTAGATATGCCAAGAGACGCTAGAATCATCTTACCAGTCGACAAGACCAAGTTGTCTCTTTTCAGTTCCTGGCCCAGTTGAAAAGAAAAGTGACTTTGGCCATGTTTGCCAAAATCACTAGCGTGAAGCAGCAACAGCTTATTTATAGCAACTCACCAATTACTTCCTGCATGTGCCTACACCTAAGAGGTCACTAAGAGGTGAGAATTTTTGAGCTTACAACCTGGAATGATGAGAAAAGAACAATGGGACATTAATGATATCCACTCTTTGATTCCTCAGAGACATGCTCAAAGCCACTCGCAGATGCTTTTATCCTCAACACAACAAAGCCTGTTTTCTTATCTGGGGATGAACTTGACTATGAATGTAAAGAGGGGCTTGAAACCATTAAAAATACCATTGGTGACACCATTGTGTGCGGGGAGAAGGGATGGGAGCCAACTCCTGGATGTCTGCGTAAGTTAATAAAATACAACATTTTAATAATACAGTTGCGTAAATCAGTTCATCGAGAATGTTGTTCCTGATGATTTCTATAATGTTGCGTTCACCCTTAAATATACTCACCACTAATTCTAAATTAATTTCCAGAACTTGGCTTTTCAAGTATAAACTTTAAAAAGTAGAATAATTCAAGATAATTACCGATGTATTTAATTTTATCCTATTTGTACTTCAGTAATTTCTAAGTATTAGCTACAACTTCCTTAATAATAATCTGTTTCTCATTTATTCACTGATTTAAAAAAAATGCTGAAGAGTACCTGGTGGAACATGTTTAGCCATACCTGGAATCTCTCTTCCAACAGTTCTCATTAAAAAAAAGCTTATATTAATATGTATGTGTGTCTGCGTGTGTGTGTGTGTGTGTGTGTGATATATATATTTTTTTAATGCCTTCAATCGTGTCCAATACTTGGAAACTGTGTGCACTAGTCCCTGCAGTTTTCTTGGCAAGGTTTTTCAGAAGTAGTTTGCCATTGCCTCCTTTATAGGGCTCAGAGAAAGTGACTGGCCCAAAATCACCTAGCTGGCTTTGTGCCTAGGTGGGATTTAAACTCATGGTCTCCCAGTTTCTAGCCTGATGCCTTAACCACTCTGCCGAACTGGAGACCACTCTCTATAATATGTCTAAATGTTTATATAAAAGTTTCAATAAAGGATAACCATATCTCATTATAATCATCCATCCATAGTCTATGTCTGGGAGAGCCAGCATGGTGCTGGACTAGGTTCTAGAATAGGTGCAGGGAAACCCAGTTTCTAGTTTTCCCCTCAATGCAGAAAGCAGCTGGGTGACCTTGGACCAGTCACTCCCTCTCAGCCCCAGTAAGTGTCAGGCTCTGTGACACGCTGACTGGAAAACAAAATACCTCATCAGATCATGCATTGATGGCTTTACTGTTTGACTAGGTGATCACAGTGTAAAAACAAGCAGACTTTGCAACCAAGTGGTACAAACCCTAAGAAGAAAAACA